GCTTAGCAACAGAAATGTTGGGCTCAATTGTAGTCATAAGTCAAGGATTACCTGTATATGGACATCCTTAGCCAAACAGTTCATTCAACTCAGCAGACTTGGTCCTCTATAGATGCAGAGCCACCAAGCATTTCCCTTTGGGATAAATAGTGTTATACAGAGTACAGAAAAGAATAAGAAATTATAAGCTAAAGAAATAGAAACCCTGAAATACATTGCTTAAGCTTTTTTACACCATTCACTGTACATTTTCCCAATTTTCTTTTTTTACTTCTCCACATCCCAAAATTCCTTAAAGATTTTGAAAGTTCCAATCTCTTTGTTTTGGGAATCTTTTCAAAAGATGTGCATCCATTCATTCTTAGTCCTATTTCTGCTTGTTCGATCACACGCACTTTCTAAGTACCCCATTGACATTGTATTCAATTTACTTTTATATTTCTCCTGACATACCCAATTTTCATTTCCATACAACAAAGTGGACAAATGCACACTATTATACATAGCTGTTTTTAATTTTTTCCCCAACAAATGTTCTTTATTTACAACAAAACATGAAGCACACACTCTCATTCAACTGTTACTTGTACATGTCAAAAGTTCTCCATCCACTTCCTCACCTTTAGGAAATGTTCTACCAAACTATACACATTTGTCTACTTGCTCCAATGTTGTCAAATAAAATTTTTTACATTTATGTAAAACTTCCAACTATTTATTCAATTTTCTGTAGGGAGAGGGGAACTTCTTAAACAATCATCCTTAATGTCTTAATGCTGAACTATTCACCAAACATTTCATTCATTCTCATGCATGTTTATTTCTATCAGAGCCATTATTACATTCATTAAAAAAAACCTCGATTCTGCATTTATGGAAACATTCCATAGTTTGAATTTTACTCACATTACACCTTGATTTCTTTGACTTAACAAAGATACATTTAAATATTTTTCTCTCATTTCTTGTGGTGACATCACCGTCTAGAGTAGAGGGGAGAGTAAAGAGGAGCCTCTTGTGGAAGGAAGTGACAGGGGCCAGAATTTTGAAGTCCTTATCTGCCTGTTTCCAAGAGTATGGAATTAGTCTGGCAAGATCTTTTAAGTAGATAATCAACAATATTTTTTTTATTTAAAAAAAAACCACCACTTTGGCCTACTCACAGAGTTGTTCTGGTTTTTTGCTCCTGACATTTATGCATTTCTTATTGACATGCTGAAGATCAAGCGTTGGCTTTGTCCAACCTACGCCCATATTGCATTTCCCAATTTTGTGGTAACAAGACCTGGTGGATCCCACATTCAGAATTTGCCAACCCCTTTGTACCCTTGAGCCAGGAAATCTAAGAAACAACCAAGTGAATCATGCATGTCATGGAACAAGCAGAAATCAAAGATAGCAAAGCGAAGGAAGAGTTTTGTTTCAGCAAAAACAATCAAATCCTTTCTGATTTATATTCATTTCTACATTGCATTCTGTACACATGAACAGACATGAGCTTAAACAGCATATTCAGAATAAACAGATTTTCCTTGGCAGATATTCTTTAAATAGACACCCTCTCATTCATTCTTGGGTTTCTACCCTCTTGTTTTTCAGAAATGTCATTAAAACAGGGGTATTCTTGCAGATCCTGGGAGCAGAATGTTGTAATATTGTCACACGGATACTAACATTCCCTAATTTAATTTATTAATGTTTCTAATTTATTAATGTTTAATTTATTAATATTTTAAATAATGATGCTGGTATTTTTTTAACTTGACTTTCAAAGTTTAGATGTAGACCACTGACAATCATTTATAATACACATATATTTATTTGTTACAGGCCAGCAACTTTTGTAAGCATAGCAGCAAAGTCCAGTACTTTTTTTCAAAAAAATGTTGCTTTTTATTTTGCTACTTTGCAGCAATTCATGTCCTTGGCACATATTAAAACAATCATAAATGAAGACCCACTTAAAATGTACTTTCATAACTAGTGTAAATTGGCAACATGGCAATGGGGGAGGGGAATCCACTTCCACTTTCCTATGGCATGTTGATCAACATAATCTGCTATTCACTAGTTTGGTATACTTTATTGTTTACTGTTTGATGAGTTATCAAGCAAAATAAAATAAAATAATATAACAAGACTTACAAATCTTGCAGATCCCCATGGTCATGGAATCACTAACTTTTCCTAGTTTCATTTATTAATACTTCTAGCACTAAATATTTTAAAAATTATTATACTGGTATTCTTTTAACTTGACTTTCAAGGTTTAGACGCAAACCACAGACAGTCAATTACAATATACATAGATTTATTTGTTACAGGCTAGCATCTTTTGTAAGCATAGCAGCAAAGTCAAGTACTTTTTTAAAAAATTGTTACTTTTTATTTTGCAAGGAAAGCCATAGACATACCTAATGAGTCCTAGGAATAGATGTCACAATATATTGTTTCAACAGCAGTTCATTTCCTTGGTTCATATTAAATCTGTCATAAACTTTTCTCTTTCAGGGAGATTCACTACAACACAAAGACCAGGTAATGAAGATCCATTTAAAATGTATTTTCATGAACAGCATAAATTGGCAATAGGACAATGCCACTTTCCTATGGCATGTTGATTAACATAATCTGCTATTCAATATCCTAGTTTAGTTTATTGTTTACCGTTTACTCTAATGATGTATCAAGCAAAGTATGATAAAATAATACAAGCATATTGAAATATTAAAAAATAGTCAATGAAATAATCAACCTTTGACAGTTGATCCCAATCTGATCTAGATAGGAAGCTCTCAGTTGAATGGCTTTAGCTATTAACTTGGCAGTCTTTCTTACTTACGTGTGTTTCTACCTTGTAGGAAGTAAGCAAGGCTGTTGATGGGATCTCAATGGGCTATCCTGTTAATTATCGACTTTAAAGTCTGTGCTCTGCCTGAAGCATTTGGTTAGCAGTCAAAAAGGATATGAGTGATGTCCTCTATTTGTGGTGCACCACAGATACAGATCCACTCTTGATAAGATACTTAATAAAATTGCCCATAGTTTACCATAGTATCTGGGAACTCCATAAAAAGTCCCCCCTACCTTTGGGATTACAGGTAGTTCTCAACTTAAAACAGTTCATTTAGTGGCCATTCAAAGTTACAACAGCATTGATTTATTGCCCTTTCCCACACTTACAACCCTTGAACATCTCATGTGATCAAAATTCAGATGTTGGCAACTGACTCATATTTATGATGGTTGCAGAGACTCAGGGTCATGGGATCACAAGCCAAGTCATTGGGGAAGCTAGATTCACTAGATTACTAGATTACTAGATTACTAGATTACTAGATTACTAGATTACTAGATTACTAGATTACTAGATTCACTAGATTACTAACCTCAATTCACTTGACAACTGTGTCAAGGAAGGTCTTAAAATGAGGCAAAATTCACTTAACAAATGTCTCATTCATCAACAGAAATTTTGAGCTTAATTGTGGTCATAAATCGAGGACTACCCATATAATCCTTAATCCCCAGTGCTAATGAATCTGCCAATAGAATGACATCTATAGATTATAAGCAGGAAAAAGTCTAGGATACAATTTTTGGGAAAGGACTTCAAAGCCCCACAGCCAGTCCTGTATCTTAACTCTAATCCTTCTCTATTACTCCAATACTCCAGTATTAAGTATTCTTTGACGCTCTATGTATGTCCACTATTTTCAAATAATTCAAAAATTTAAGAAGATTGTTGGGCTATAACTCTATCATATAAATTATTGTCTTCTTGTGCAGAGGGACTACTAGACTTCTTGTAAGGCTAATTAGGGAAAACCAAAGCAATGAACACAAAAAATCAGACTGATGCTATTGAAAAGATTATTATGCTTTCTATAATTATACCCATTTATGACCATTTCCCTCCAAAAATGTTTAGTATCATAGAATGCCATAAATACATGAGATGTATGTACAAGTCATGTGCTTGGTTGAGGAAGAAAGAATTACAATCCATCTTTTTAAAGATATTTAACTTGACATTTTTAATAACGCATTTGAATTACAAAATCCACTCTGTATCCACTCTCTGGACAATTAATCCCTTTGTCCACTTATTCAATGGATTTCCTCATAGCTAATTTATTTTTATTTTCTTTACCTCATACTCATAAGCCCCAACCTTATTGATAACATTTGTCACCTTTTTTTTAAGGAAGAGAGAGGCATTTTGATAAAACAGTTCTTTCTGTACTAATAGGCTCTAATCCTTTTGACTGAAGTGTAGGAAGTGACAGGATTGACAATTTTCACGAATGCAAAAGAAATAAGTTGAAGATAAATGTACTTCCTACTTGTCAAAGCTTGGTTATTTATATTTAGCACTTCAAGCAAATGGAGAAAATGTAGCAATTATGTCTGCTTCTGTATGTCCTTCTTTAGCATGTATTTTTT